ATTATATAAAGAGAAAAATATCAAATCTAAAACCAAGTAAAGACTAACTGGAAGAGAGATAAGTATCTTACCTGTAACCATCTGCAGGATGAGCTCTGTAGCTTCCTATAGAAGCTGCAACCAGAGCTCGGTTGAAGCTCTTCCCAGAGACCTTTCCATTGGCACCTTAGAACCTATCGTGTGCTTCCATAGCCAATTTAATGCTCTTCTGTAACAACTCTGCTTCTTCAATTGTTAGTCCTCTGGAAAGGAATCCAGAAATTATAGCCTGAATAGATGATACCAACAAACCAATCAAATGCTTCTCTTGTCCATTGAATTGTTCACAACAAAACATTAAGCAGAGCAGACGATCTTCAAAATTTCTTCCACTGAGTTAAGTAGACAATTTAAACATAAAATGGGACTTTATGAAAATATTAATTGGTTCAAAATTTTCTTAAGGCCACGATCCAACCCTCTGAAAAATGGTTATAAAATCATTAAAATGGAAGCTAAAGAAAGGAATCTCCCTCACCCCTCACCCTTCTCCTCCCTTGAATCCAATCTTATCCCATTACTCATACTAAAATCAGAGATTGATGGAATCTTTGGGGGCAGCAACCTCTCCGTCCATCGGCTCTGATCATCTTTCCTTATAAGGAAGGAAATATAACAGAAATAAGGAAGAGAATCAGAGAATCAAGATGAAGAAGATAGAAACTCATCACCAAATAAAAATTGAGACAAAATCCACTTGACTGCAAAGAAAACTAAGGCATTTGTTGCTGAAAACTTCAGAAGACACATTATACAATGTAGTCCCAGAATTTTCAGGGGTTTTGGATAAATTTCTATTCTTGAAATGGAATAACGAGAGAGATTCTAGAAATTACCATTGGCATTGGGTTCATTGGAGTTTAAATCAAACAGGGATAAATTTTCTTTCCTAAGAAACACAGCAGCATGCATTCATTTAAAGCCAAAGCATCTGATTTATAAAATAAAATGAATAAGATAAAAAGAAGTAAAACACGGTGAACCCAAATACATTATTTTAAACAAAAGAGATATTAGTTCTTCTCATGATAGTGATTAGACACAGTCCAAAGCAGACAACTCAATCTATATAAAAGCAATGCATCATCACTCAATCTATTAAAAGCAATGCATCACCTCTTGCCAATACTGACTACCCTTCACCCCTGCATCCACAAAACAGTAAAAGAGAGACCTGAAATTGAATTCAGAAAAATAAGAAATTAAACAAAGATGAAATCAAAGATAAAAGCAAGAGAAGAGAAAGACCTGATATTGCTTTGAGTACAGCATCCTGAGGCAAACCATTTCTGATCTTCTTGCTTTTTTCTCTGTTGCTCATGCACTTTCTTCATATGAAATTTCAATTGTTTGTTTGGATGTAAATGCTATGGTGGTCATCAGGTGATCTATCTTTGAACCTTCTCTGTGAAATCTATATTGAATTCAGAAAATAGTAATTGAATTCAGCATTTGCTTGGTTTTCCTCCTAGCCAGCATTATGGAACCTATGCTATTCTTAGGAGAAACAAATAAAGAAAAAGATGTAAAGCTTTTTCCATGTAATTGAGTGCCCAAGACACATTTCAAACCCCAAAAGTAATTAATTAAAGGAGAGACTCTTTAACAAATCAAAATGTCACTTGAAAACTTTAATAAAAAGCATCCTTTTTTCAGTCTGGACTGCTTGAAAAACCACCTGTCCAGGCATGAAATTAGAAGTTTGCCTCCAATTTCTTCTCTTTCTCTTTCCATGCATTAGTGGAAAACTTGACATTTTAAGTCTTGGGTTAAGCCAGTCCAAACTAAAATAAGGATTCTCTGTAATAAGTTATAGTACCACTCTAGGAATCATGTAAACTCTTAGGATAAGATATCTGAAAATCATCCAAGGTCAAACTATGACACCTATGTCACACGATGCAAACAAAATACCAGATTTACTTATAATCTTGATCATTTAAGCTGCTCAAGTAGGACCTGCCCTTGGAAGAGTAAAGCAATTGAATGGGTATCAGAGCACTCCAACTTCTGTTTGGAAGAAAAATTGACTAAAGATAAACTAAATAATTGGAATAAACTTTGCCAATCTTAGCTAAATTTTTCACTATCTAAAAATTTTGTCCATAAGACATCTACAACTAACTAAAAACCATCATTTTAAAGGGAGGAGAAAGTGCATGATCATATTTAGATTTTTGCTTTGTACCTTTTTCTCAACCAAAATTATCCCTTCATTTAACTGATTCTGCAGTTGTGCAATTCTTTGTCACCCAGATTGTCCAGCTCCTTGACATTCAATTGTCTACAAATTGGAATTGTCATTCTGTCTCATAAATCATTGAAGATGCTCTAGGTTCATATTTTAGTGTATGTGAAATTGAATTAAACAAATGATCATATGGTACAAAATTGAAAAATATTGCGTATACATTATAATGAAAATCACACAAACATGTATGTGTAAGTGCTTTTGGGTACCACTTTTTGCTCCTGCATCTACTTCTTTCTGTTTGTGGTCCATCACTTGATGGAAATTAGATATGGCTTTAATTGGTTTAGTTTCTTTTCTGCAATTCCTCATCAATATGAAATTATAAAATCTTAGGATTTCATAACATGTTTGTGCTGTCCACTAAAATAAAATGGTATCAAACATCCATTATTATTATTATGTGATCAGACTTCCATGTTAATATAAATGATTAGACACGGTAACATATAAATGATTAGACATAGTAACTTGTTAGTTTCAAGAATATATGGTTCTGGTTTTGGTTCTAGGATTTCTTCTGATGCCTCACAACTAACGTTTAACAACCCTTGTTTGGCACATTAATTTATTTTCAGAATCTTGCCACTGTCAGTTTTTTTCTTTCTAGATCGGGTCTCTGCTGTTGTTCAACTTGTAGTTCAGTTGTATGCCTGCTCTCTACCAGAAAAGAGAGGAAATTGTATGTCAAAAGTCAACCTTTTTCCTTTTTCTTCGCTGTATCTAGTTAGGGAAAAGTAAGAGGAATATAATGCATGGATATTGAGAATTCAGAATTAATTCTCTTCTCTACTAAAGATTCCAAATTTCCTTAGTCACATTGAAAGCAACATGATCAAAATTGTCAATCAAAAACATGATAAAAGACTTACATGTATGCTCTTCACAACCTCCCACATTAAGCTTTCAGTGGCTGTCAGATCAGGTTGTTGCAGCTTTTGTTTAAACAGTACAAAAATTACCCTTCTTTTAGCTTTAGACTATGTTTGAGCAGAAGCCCCCCTAAAGATATAATATCTCCATGAAGCCAGCATTGCAAAAGAAGTGAAATATATATATATATATATATATATATTACTAAGAATAGAAACAAAAGGAAAATAATTAAGAAATCATTCTACTTTTCCTTTGCTTATTTTGGCTGTTTTGATAAGCAAATTTATTCCCAGTTGAGTACCATGCATAATGGTAAGGTTTTTATTCATTTATCCAAAAAAATTCAGAATTTCTATACACTCAAGAAATCAGTCATCACATGGCTACTTTAAAACTCAAGAAAACTGTACACTCAGACGAAAAGAATTTCAAAAAACAACCAATTCTCAAGCACAATACCCCTGAAAAGTCTAAAATGCATAATTAGCAAAAATTGCCCATCTGGTTGGGTATCTTGAACCTTATAAAAACAAAATCCTAGAAACAGAACATGCAAGAAATCACAAAAAGAGCAGGTCTCAAACGCTTGTGCTCATCAAAATTTGTGAAATTCCTTCCAAGATAGCACATTAGTGACAAATTCACCAACTTGAAAATATTAAATCTCAAAGATTTTGTGAACATCAGTAGAAGTGAATTGGATAAAGAAAAGTTGGGGGCTTAGCAGTGGGGCTTGAACTCTAAATTCTCTTTGAGAGCATTTTCTCTTTGAGAGCATTAGGGGACTGTCGCAGAACAGATTGGTCCATCTTAGAAACATAGAGAGAATCAAAATCGAAGCTTGAAAAAGGAAAGAAAAAAAAAGAAAAAAAGAAAAAAGAAAGGATGCTTAGGACAGTGCTTGAAAATCAAAGAAACACTTTTATGTGCAAAAAGGGATACTATCTTCTGAACACATCAAAACAGGAAGGATCCTTGAAGGTGAGATGTTGCTGATGTTTGAAGAACTCATGCTAAACTTCGAAAACCTCACATTCAGATAAGGAAGATATTGTAGGCCCCAGTGTCTCTGTGCTAGAAAAACTAATGAGCTGT